GAATCAAGAAAGACCTATCAATCTGTCAATCCTTTCCGTGTCCATGCCGGGTGAGGTTTCCCGTGTTGAGTCAAATTAAGCCGCAGGCTCCACTTCTGGTGGTGCCCTTCCGTCAATTCCTTTAAGTTACAGCTTTGCAACCATACTCCCCCCAGAACCCAAAGATTTTGGTTTCCTGAGTGCTGCCAGGCGGGTCATGGGAATAACGCCACCGGGTCGCTGGTCAGCATAGTTTACGGTCGGAACTACAACGGTATCTGATCGTCTTCAAACCTACGACTTTCGTTCTTGATTAATGAAAACATTCTTGGCAAATGCTTTCGCTCTCGTCGGTTTTGCGCCGGTCCAAGAATTTCACCTCTGGCGGCACAATACGAATGCCCCTGGTCATCCCTCTTAATCGTGGCCGCAGTTCAGAGGATAAAACCCACAAATAAGAACCGGAGTCCTATTATAATCACAACATGTTAAAGAACGGGATAAATAGTTTATTAAGACTTTTTTATTATTATTATTTATTTTATTTTATTTCCCTCTGGAATTAATGAAGTATTTTTGAATTGAATTGAATTGAAGGACTTCAGGACTCCTTGAGACTGGTTCATGTTCTAAGTTTCTTAAGTCATTCAGATCCCACTCCTCCCTCGTGACTTCAGGTGTGCCCCAAGGCTCTGCCTTGGGGCCCCTTCTTTTCATCATCTACCTTCTCCCCCTTGGCAATATCTTCCATAAATTTAACATTCACTTCCATTGTTTTGTTCCATTGTTTTCTTCCATTGTAGGGGAGTGGTGGCGCAGAGGTTAGAGAGGTGGGCTTGTGATCCGAAGATCGCCGGTTCATGCCCCGGCCCTGACAACATCAAAATTGTGGGTGGGGTAGGTGAAACACCCACACTTGCCCCCACCCTCATTCGCCCCACTCTGGGCCCATGAGCAAGGCCCTTAACTCCCACCATGTGCTCCCTAAACAGGTCTCTCTTGAAAATGAGTTCTCGTGGCTCAATGAGACTAACCTGGATAAATAAAGGCTAAATGAAAAAAAAAAAATTTGTTTTCCTTTGTCCTTTGTTATTCCTCCCTGGCTCTCATCAAGGTGGCTGCTTCTATCATCCCTCCCCCATTTTTCCTTCTTCCTGCTCTGCTCTCTGTGTGTCTGAAGTGCCTGGTTCACATCTCCCGAACATAAATTAAGAAGATTATGGATTTGGTATTGTGGGCATTCAACTCTATTGTTAAGATTTTTTCATCAAAGCGACAAGGTCCTGGAGAACCGGCGTGTCCAGCTGAGACTCACGCTGTGGGGTATTTCATGGATTTGTGGGGAGTGTGGCAGTTGATGTGCCTCTCAGTTCTGTCTCAGGAGGATGTTGAAGACGTTTACATATTTGGAATTATGATTATGATAGCAGGGACTCTGCTTTTTGGCATCGGCGGGGCTCTGTTTTATCGATTTTTGAAGAAGACATCGGCAACAGTTTCGGCCATGGAAAAGCTTCCGAGTCAGTGTGAAGGTTTGGTCCATGCAGTAGGAACTTTAAATCATCTGGTTTACGAGCTTAACCGTAAGGTGGAGGCGATTTATGAGAATTGCAGGCCACTTGCAGCTTCTGGGACACGTCAGCGTGGTGGGTTCGACCTTGAAGGAGACTCATAGCATGGATCAGTGGAATGGAATCCCACAATTAGGCATTTTCGGAACAAGAACGCCCAGATGGACTCAAGGCTGGAATTAAGTAATCTCTGCCTGAAGAAAAACAAGAATCAAGCTTATCTAAATCTGACTCCCGATGGCCTCAGAGATGGGCCGACTATCAAATTTCTCCTGGGTCATGAGTAACCAAGGACAAAAGCTTCATCCATCACATTTACGCCGTAAGCTTCAAATGGTTCAAAATTCAGCTGCCCGCATCATTACCAAAACCCCCTCATTTCACCACATCAACCCAGTTTTACAGAAACTTCACTGGCTTCCAGTCACTTTCAGAATTCAATTTAAAATCCTGTTGTACACATTCAAGGCCATCCATAACCTCGCCCCTCCCTATCTGTCCGATCTCCTGCACATTATCACCCATTCACGCTCCTTTCGTTCTTCCTCTTCCATCCACCTCAACGTGCCTCTCGTCCTCCTCAGCACCATGGGACACAGAGCCTTTTCTCAATCTGCTCCACAACTCTGGAACGCTCTTCTCCCAGACATCCGTAATATTGACTCCCTTCAGTTCAGACCTTCAAATCACAACTCAAAACTCATTTGTTCAAGTTAGCCTTCTCACTTTAATTTGTTATTTTCTTCTTGGTTTAGTGTTTTTATAGCCATTTTGTATTGTTTTATTTTGTGTTTTATTTTGTGCTTTTAATGTTGTGAAGTGTCATTGGGTGTCTTGAAAGAATAACAAATAAAATGCATTATTATTATTATTATTATTATTAAGTTTCTGTCAGAAGTTCCAGTGTTTTAATTAATCAAAACATAACAGATAGATACTGATAGATTCCCTTTAGGACATATTTGGTCAGCCAAGGCCACTGCCTTTGGCCACTGCCCATGGAGCATGAGATTGACAGACGGATTGGTGCAACGTCTGCAGTATTGTGGACTCTGTGCCGGTCTGCTGTGGTAAAGAGGGAGCTGAGCGGTAAGACAAAGCTCTCTGTTTACCGGTTGGTCTATGTTCCTACCCTCACCTATGGTCATGAACTCTGGATAGAGACTGAAATAATGTGATCGTGGATACAGGAGGTTGAAATGAGTTTCCTCTGCAGGGTAGCTGGACTCTCCCTTAGAGACAGTGTGAGAAGTCCAGTTATCAGGAGAGACTCGGAGTAGAACCACTGCTCTTCCACATCGAGAGGAACCAGTTGAGGTGGTTCGGGCATCTGGTAAGGATGCATCCTGGGCGCCTCCCTTGGGAGGTGCTTTGGGCATGTCTGACTGGGAGGAGACCCCAGGGAAGACCCAGGACAAGCTGGAGAGACTATGTCTCTCAGTTGGCCTGGGAACGCCTTGGAATCCTCCCAGAATTGCTGGAAGTGGTGGCTGTGGAGAGAGATGTCTGGACATCCCTGCTCAAGATGCTGCCCCCAAAACCAACAAGCGGAAGATAATGGATGGATGGATGGATGGATGTTCCCTTTAGGACAGTTTAATAATAAATTTAGCATTGTCACTTATCACATTTAGACAGATGACAATCATCTATATTGCTCTGTTAGAAACTTTACATTTTGTAAACTAATTTACTTATCTGCTCATCAGATTTAATAAAAATGTTAACAAATAATTACCTTAATTTAAATTCAGATGAGACATGATGTTTAATCATCTACTGCCAACAGCATGCTTCCACAAATATAGCAGCAATTTAAAAATTGATTGTGTTTCCACAACAAAAAACGTTTTCAGGAATCATGGAATTTTTGTGGGGTGTTTGTTTGATCCTCCTCTGCTTTGACTGCAAGAACCAGGGGCATAACAAGGTCACTCTAGAGATTTATTCCAGAACATGACCCAGGTAGAGGGGTGGTACATTTGAAACTGCCTTGAGCCTTGGTGTGAAGGTTTGTGTTGAGTACCCCCAGCATTCCCAGCAACAACCCAAGAAGTGTGCTTAAAGTAGGGTGTTGGGGCGGTCGGGGGTGGGGGGTATTGGAGTTCTGTTAGTGTAAGTGCTATGTGTTGTCATCATTGTATGTTCCCATTCAATGATGAAATTAGTTCTTTGCATTTAACCCATTATACCTGGGATACACCCAGGTGGAGGAGTGAGCAGCTATGTAAGCACCTGGGGAGCAATTAGGGATTGGGTGTCTTGCTCAAGGGCCACACGGCATGTGGGCATGGCAGGGAGTAGAACCACGACTTTCTGGTCCCAAGTCAGCTGTCTTACCTCTACCCCATCTCGGCCCCACAATGTCTTAAGTCTTAAGTTAAAGTAGCCTTATTAAAAAAATCTAGTAATGTTACAAATTTCCTCCAAATCTCAAGTCATTTGACTTATCTTACAATATGTGAAGGCTGTGAAAGAATCAGATTCCAGAAACCATCTAAACGTCATAAAACTGGTTGACCCACTATGTGAAAGTGTTATTTATAAGACAATTTGTTGCAGCTCCTCAGACCGATGAAGTTTTTTGGATGAAAGACGAAATGTTTCAACAAAAAGAAACCATCCAGAGGACCTGACTCAACCTTTGTTGGACTTCCATCCATCCATCCATCCATCCATCCATCCATCAATCCATTCTCTTCCACTTATCTGGGGCCAGGTCATGGGGGTAGCAGCCTAAGTAGGGAGGCCCAGACTTCCCTCTCCCCAGCCACTTGGGCCAGCTCCTCCGGGGGAATCCCAAGGCGTTCCCAGGTCAGCCGAGAAACATAGTCCCTACAGCATGTCCTGGGTCTTCCTCTGGGTATCCTCCCTGTGCTCGGAATACCTCACCAGGGAGGCTTCCAGGAGGCATCCTAACCAGATGCCCGAGCCACCTCAACTTGCTCCTCTCGATGTGGAGAAGCAGCGGATCTACTCTGAGTCCCTCCCAGATGACCGAGCTTCTCATCCTATCTCTAAGGGAGAGCCCAGACACCCTGCGGAGAAAACTAATTTTGGCTGCCTGTATCCGTGAAATCGTTCTTTTGGTCACAACCCAAAGCTCAAGACCATAGATGAGGGTAGGAACATAGATCAACCAGTAAACTGAGAGCTTTGCCTTTTGACTCAGCTCTCTCTTCACCACGACAGACCGGTACACGACACACCACCCGCTTCACTGCCAACACAGCACCTATCTGCCTATCGATCTCACGTTCCATTTTTCCCTCATTCGTGAACAAGACCCCGAGATACTTAAACTCCTCCACTTGGGGCAGGACCTCCTCCCTGACCTGGAGAGGGCACTTTACCCTTTTCCGGCTCAAGACCATGGCCTTGGATTTGGAGGAACTGATCCTCATCCTGGCCGTGTCACACTCGGCTGCAAGACGCTCTAGCAAAAGCTGT